TTGCCGCAAAGACGGCAAACACGGCTGGATTCGAGAGTCTCCATAACGGTATAGAAATTAATTCGTGCAGGTATGAGAGCCTAGCGAATGCTGAATCGCGTGTGAATCCTCTCTGTCCCTCCTGAACGTTTCGAGGAGAGCTTAACACCCTAACCGCGCTTCGCGGGAATCTCTAAACACCCGAAGCGCAACTTTCCTTTGCAACCCAGCCGTCGCCAGCGTATAATTCTGCGTCACGTTTCACCGTCGGGGTTCGCGCAAACGCAAACTCGTAACGAGTGCTGTTAACTCGAACACAACTGTGATCGGCCGGTACTACTTTGATCTACCGGCGGACGAAAAATCAGCCGACTTTTCCCTGACGCGAGCCTAACGATACCACCGCGCTCTACGGATCTCCAGTGATCCCGCTTATTGCGCTCTCGTTCGTCGAACAGCAGAAGATCAATTTCAATCGATCCACCACCCACAGAAGTCGGGCAAACGGAGTTCGCCTTTTTCGTCTACGAACCGTATCGTGCTGACATCTGTTGAAGCTTACACGACTACGATCCATACCTCGATAACTACGTTTATTTCTATTCGGAGTGTGTTCTAACCTGACAGACGGTGACAAGAAATTGTTTGAAGTTAAAGTTACAGTGAGCTTACAGTTAATAATGGAAAATGATAATAAGACTACGGAAAAGGAAAAATCTGCTGCGGAGAAACATGCAGAAAGAATGAAGCGTTTGCGAGAGTTGCATACAAAGAGAGTAAGAGAATATAACCTATCATTGCATTTCTATTTGTTTAAACGTAGCTTTTGCGTGAACTGTTTCTTATACAATGTTGATTTCATAGAATGAAGCTAGACAGCAAAACCATAAAGAAGTTATAGAAGAGGACAAAAGGAGCAAACTTCCTTCCAATTGGGAATCGCGTAAACGACAAGCAGAATGGATCATGCAAGATGAAGCTGCGAAGAAACTAGCACAAGAAAAGGTAAATATCATTTACGTGCCTTTATTTGAATTCAGTAGAAACTAATCTATGTTCAAAATCTGTATTTACTAGGGAGAGGATTATGATAGAACAAAACTACTTCACATTGATGCAACCGAAGCAGAGCGCATAGCTAGGAAAAAGAAGAACAAAAAGAATCCAGATCCAGGCTTCTCTGACTATGAACAAGCAGCTATTAGACAATATAATAGATTAGTGAAAAATGTTAAACCAAATATGGAGTCTTATGAGGAAGCTAGAGAAAAGTTAGGTCCAGCCTTCTATGGAGACAGAAACACTATATTACATGGTCTTCACGAAGACAAAAAGGAAGCTATTGATAAAATGGTGGAAGATTTAGAGAAACAGTTAGTACAATGCTAGAAAAGGAAAAGTCATATTATTTTACAGGTATTTTCATGCATGTTTCTTTTTTATAGGATCGCAAAGAGGGATAAGTATAGCAGAAGAAGAATGCACAACGACGATGCCGATATCGATTACATCAACGAACGTAATGCTAAGTTCAATCAGAAATTGGAGAGGTTCTATGGAGAATACACGCGCGAAACAAAATTAAATTTGGAGAGAGGTACAGCTATATAATGGCAAAATATTACACTAATGAACTTACTACAAATAACTTGTATTTTAAATAGTATGTCAAAACTGATACAAATAGGTGTCAAACTACTGATAAGTTGTTGATTATTTAATTATAAGTGCAGATGGTACATTTTCTGGCATGGTGGTAACCAATTTGAAACTCTTATTCGTATATCGAAACGATCAATTAATATATTTAATTACGTATTAATTTCATATAATGTACGTCACCATTAATAATAAAAAAAAGAAACTTACGCTGAATTTAATCATTGAAACTTCTGCTTTCCTTTCGTACTCTGTCATTTACTTTTTATTTAATTTAAATAGTGATTTTATATACAGTTTTCCAAATTTCTAATGCAGTTCACGTCATACCACCCAACTGTGCACCGTTCCTGAAAAGTGTAAAGCTTCCTTATATCCGGTTCTACTCTGTATTCTCATCTTTTAGACAGTCAATACTCACGACTCGGTGAAAAGTTGTGATGATGCGTAACTCGTATATGAATATCTTGCGTTTCACCTGTGAATTATACAAATTCAATTGTAAAAAGGTATCGAACATATATAGACACGCAATTATATTAATATTCTTAAACAGTTTCATTACTTACCAGTTTGTATCCAAAAATATGAAGCGTGACCATCAACTTGTTATAAAAAAAGACAACTCGAAAATAATTAATAGCATCTAAATACAATAAGATGAGACATGCTTTTCATCCATATTATTCGCAAATAAATTAATCAGAAAACAACATGCGTTTAAGTACGTCGTCCTCATAGACCCGTTTTATTCGTATCGTATTTTTAGAGCCGTCAATGGACGAATATACCTTACAATGATAAAATATCGGCTTTGGTTGCGCGCGTCATCACAGTACGTCGGAGGAACATCCTTTCTGCTCGAACGTCCGTGGATTATAGTTTATTTCAGTTCACAAAAGTATCACACAAAACGAAGACACATGCTGTTAAGGCACTTTACGACTCCGATGGCGGCGGAGGAGGAGGCTCGTCGACGTCCAAGCGGATCAACGAGGTCGCAAGATCACCGATCGATTTCCCGGAAGTCGTACCTGCGTTTCCGTGATCCAATAGCCTGGGCATGTCGCACTGCTCGCATTTGTTCATCAACGGATGGTTCTTAAACGTACACATTCTGCAGATCCAAGAAGGACCGTCGCGTTCTTCTCCGTCGTTGTTTCCGGTGAGCTCAGGCTGCCAGGCAGGTGGCTGACTCGGTAAGGGAGGTGGGTTCGAATTGGCGGATCTCGAGGGTAACGGTTGACCCGTGTAAATATGCTGATAGAACTTTTCGTTCGTTTCACCTAACGGAACTGAAACGAACAAGCCAGCCATTTTATATCGAAGCGAACGAAAGATGTAATTAAATGGTTACCTCTTAGATCCGACCAGCGATCCACTTCTTCGGCGAGTCTATCGCACTCGACTTGCAACTGATAGATCTCGCTCCTCAATTTCTTTTTCAACTCCTGGCAAATGGAATCGACCATTACTATTTCGCGTTACGTTAAGCGATTAAAAGTATAGTATCGTGTATACTTGTGGAGGCACCGAGGAGTCGAAGGGCCTCGAAAGAGATTGTAGCTCCTTCTTCATCGCTTCGAGTCGTCCTTTCTCGGCCTTCAATTCCCTGGCGAGTTTTTCTTTCCTAGCTAACTGTTCCGCGACCAATTTCCTTTGATGCTCCGCCACTGTAACGATTTGAAAATTTAAGACGAAGTAACATAATCCACGACCCCATTTTTAGAAAGTGTCGCTATAATTAGTCTAATCTACGGTGTATTTCTAATTAGTCCATCTTTCTTGAACGAAACTGTACTGTCGCGCAGACTAGTGCGAGGGTGCAAATCAGCTTCGACTGACGTTGTTTCATTTTAGTCGCGTGCGAGCGATTACAGGCGAGGAACATGAAACGCGAATTGTAACGCAACGCGTTCAGGAAACGCGTCAACATCGAGACGATGCTGGCCCGCTGGCGAGAAGGAAAAGCGGATCAGGTGGTCCACGTAGAGTAACCGCAAGCGAGGCTATCTATAGACGGAGCGTGGGGTCAGGAATGCGTAAATATCGTTCTCGGTGTTACACGCGTGGGCGTAGTACGCGCGACGGAGTGGTTGCTCGCAGGTAAATATACGTGTATGATTCTTTGCGAATACAAAGAAAGATTCCGAAAAAACGGTTACCACTTTTACGGGGTATCGGTAAGCTACAGCCAGCAATAAAAATAGCCTAACAGGCTATTTTCGAGCGATACCTTGATTCAACGGCGATCGGTTCTGATCGGAATTGGTATGTCGTTCGCCAACGGGACTAGAGGGTGGCGAGGTCGTTGTCGGTCCTGACGGTGTCGTCGGAAGGCTTGTGGGAGGAACGATGGTCGTTGTCGATGGTACGGAAGGTGTGGTTGGGGCGCTCATCGTCGTCGTCGGCCTCGGTAACTGACTAGGAGGCCCTGCTGGAAGACCTGAAATTTCCACAATGTTACCTCGACACTTAACAAAATTCTTAAAATCCGGACAGAAATTACCTGGTGGCCTTTGCGGACCGGTTTGCACCGGTGGTATCAAGCTGTTGGGCCTACTGGAGCCCATCGGCGG